TGTGCTAGCTATGATGTAGTACATGTGTATACATGTGCTAGACAACTTGTATGTCAACACAAAACTAGATGAGGTCGGCTCTATGAATCATCAATATCCAATCTGCCCCTTTGGGCCATTTCAATACAATACTCAATTACTTTGTGTTTTAAGCCAAATTAGGGTTCTCTAAAACTAGAGGTTATCTACATTTTCTACTGATTTACAAATCTTTAAACAAACTACTAAAAATCATTAAGCAAAGCTACTAAAATTTGTCACAAATACCAGGTTACTAAAATGAGTACTACTCTAACATCTAAGCAAAACATAAAACATTTGAGCAATATCCAAGTTCTATATCTACTCTTCACCCAAAGAATAATATTAATTAAATTGATTCCCACTAGCACCTCAACTAATGAATCCCGCATCAATGCACAAGGCACAGGAATTCAATGCAACCTTAGGCAAAACATAGCCTTATGTAAACCAACATAAAGATAAATATTTCCCTTCATTTTCGACTTGTGTTCTGCACCAATCGTCATGCTTAAATTTAAGTAAAGAAACATTTTAAGGGCTTGCATTTACTAATTTTATGTTATTTTAATCTGCCAACTGAACATGCAAAAGAGTTCAAATTCTCCTTATCTTCCTTTTCCATCCAAACAGGGAGCAGATATCCATGCAAGAATCTAAGATGTGGGCAGCCACAAAATTTACGAAGAGTAATGATCATGATAGAGAGAAAGAGATCAATACACAAGGAGAAATGCAAATGGGATGAGAACCAGCATTTTGACAAGTGTATACTGTTCAAACCTGTACGTGTATGATGCGCCAATCTTGCAAAATCTTTCCAAGTTTACGCCTTTGCCAGGAAATATTTGTACACAGAACTCGAAGCAAAGTGATCAATAACTGTACAACAACGTGTTATTGAAGGTGACAGATCTCGTTAAATTTGATAAAAGCAGAATATTAACCTATTCAACAGCAAATAAAACCCAAAACAGATTAGCTTAACATTTTAGCAGTACCAATACCAGGAAAAGGCTCAGAAAGTTTTTAGATATATTCTTATAAGAAGCTCTGGACATAGAAAGTTCAAAATCTACCTCTAATAAATTCATGCTTTTACCTGCCCAAGTTGTACAAGAGTTTCATTCTTCTGAATATCATGGTTCTTCGCCACCTCAGGTAACAAAGAAGCTTTACAAATCACAGCAAAGACAGGATCACGCCCATAGAGCTTTGCATCTTGAATCAGCAAATGCTGTTGATTAGTATTTCAACATGAGAATATCATTGTGGAAAAGATAA